AGGATGAACTTTATCCAATATATTTTATACTGTCTTAAGAAAACAACAACATAGTGTTATGAACTAGCGAATAAATTACTTTGATTCTACAGCACTATAAAAAAAAATCATGAATTTGTGGAGCTCAAACAAAAGCAGCACTGACAACTTTAACAGTATAATACCATTCCTAAAACTGTTGCCAGAGGTCCCCTACAGACATATTTCCGTAGCTATTCTGGTTGTGCTAACTCTGCCTTTGCTCAGAGCATAGTTTGAGATCGAGGGGCCTGATGAGCGCTGCAGTAAGGCCCGAGGCTYGGCCCACTGCACCCTTGTTGCTCCCTAGGAGAGGAGCTCAGGAAGGGCCTGTTGCTCTTCCCAAGACTTTCATCCCAAATAAGCAGGGACCTGGAACTGAAGGGGAGGCAGCCGGGAGATGCAGCTGCCTGTCGGCAGCACAAGAATTGGGTCAGGAAAATACCAGGTCTGCTCCTTCACGAACAGAGGAGCAGAGGATCCCTGGTGATGWTCTCCAGCCTTGAGAGCAGGAGCTCTTGGGTGTATAGGGAGTGTAGTTCTACAGAGGTTTGGCAGTTAAGGGATTTTTTTTAAGAAATATAAATGTTCTCTGTTGTTCACTGCTCTGTGATTAAAAAACAAACACACCAACATGTCAGATGGGAGTCTGGCAGTTCTTTATAACTAAGTCGCAACTATTTCATTTCTGCTGATTACTAGTAGTGTGATTTCCAGTGTGAGACCTTGTGCCACGTGCTCCAGGTGTCCCTGCCTGAGCAGGGGGGTTGGACTAGATGATCGCTAGAGGTCCCTTCCAACTTCAACCATTYGGTGATTCCGTGAGTGTTGACTAGCTTTGAAAATATTAAGCCCTGTTTTTCTGATGCAGATCACGGCAATGGAGCCTCATGGCCTGCAAGAGAGGCCAGCAGCAGAGGTTTAGGGGCAGCATTTAAGGAACAGTTCACCATGTTTAGCAATGAACTATATGAACCKTACTAATCCCATTGGTCTCCCTTAYATTTTTGCATCCCACGGCAATCTGTGGCAAGGAATTCCACAGTGTTCTCGCATAAAAAAGGAGCCCTGCTCTCTGACATCTTATTTGGCTTCTCCYCAGTTCTTGATAACAAATAACAAATGTGTTTTGTATTCACCGTCTCCACACATTTCATGATTTTATACATTTTTTCTATAGATGTTTTATAAAGCCTTTTCCTCTCATCATTTGTTTTCCATGCTAAAAAATCCTGTTTACTTTCCTCTAGTCTTGAAACTATTGCATTGAAAGTCTAATAATCCATTTTACCTCCCTTTGCACTTTCTCTCCACCTACTGTATTTGGATGCAGGATGCCCAGTATGCAGGAATGTGTCACAATGATATTTTACCTATTGCTCTCCAGTTCCTCCCTAATGCATTCAGTGTGGCACTCATCTCCCCAGGGGCACTGAGGTGAGGCTTCCAAGAACTGCCTTTGATGACACTGCAATCTCGTTGCTGAGTGATAACAGCTCAGTTAGACCTATTGACTGACCCCTATCAAGCTCTGGAGAAAAAAAAAAAAAAAAAAAAAGCCTTGGAAAATCCCATGATGTACTAAAGTCACAAATGTTAATTGCAGTTAAGAGTTCTTTTTGGCCAGTAGTAATTAATTAGCGTTCAAATACCACTAACAGACTGAAGGACAAACTTCCTGAGAGTTCAATCACAGCATATCCAGAACTATTAAAGAGGATGGGTAAAACACCAAAAATCCCCATTTTGGGGAGAGGAAGAGAATACGAACAAACAAATGAATGGCTGCGGCTGTAACTTGGTCTTAATGTTGCTCAGTGTTGTTCGCTGCCCTTGATAATAAAAAGATACATGGGAMAAAATAAATAACCACAACAAACACAAGAAGATTTGAGGCTAAAATATTTTGTATAGTAAAAATTCTACAAAGTAATATTAAAACTATCAAAAAATTACATTCATTTAAAGGTTAAAATAACACTTATTAGACTCGTATGTTGCCTTCCTTTTACTCAGGTCCCAGCTCAAAAATGTTCTTTACCAAAAGCCTTGCTAAGTGTGTGTGTTGATCTGACGAYGTCAGTGAGTCATAGAAGTGGTTAAGAGTGGGGGGCACCTAAGGGACTGGCTGGGAGGAATAGATATCAGGCAGATAACAGGACAGCAAAAATGTCTTTTTTTTTTTCTTTTCCCAGCAAAGGGACATTAAATTACCATCGATCCAGCTGAGGCCAGTGAGTCAGAAGATTCAATTCCCATAGCACTAGGAAAAAAAAAAAAAAAAAGAAATTCAGAAGCTCTGATATTTGTTACATGTTTAAAATAAAACTTCAGCTCACAGAGCATGATTTCTACTTCRGGTTTAATTGTTTATAGATGTTTATAGTCAAGTAATTCTCCATTCCCTCTGAAACGTACTGCTCCAGATGACTTGTCTGATCAAGCCCTGGCAGGTTGCCACATCTGCTACCTGGGTATTGCTGCTGCCACAGATAACTAGTGGTTTTTTAGTAAAGGTACAGAAGCATGTTTCTATTTTTTCAGTTTTATGCCCAAATACCTTTTTGTGTGTGTGTGTGAAAAAGAAGCATCTCTGAAGCTGCAGTACACGTACAAGAACACTGAGGTAATATCATATATAATATTAGCTTTTGCTAATTGCCAGTAMCTCAGTCTGTGTTTGCACTGGTGTGCTGCCATCTGCTACACGCACACAGAAGACAACCCAGAGGAAGGCTCTGAATGCGGAGAGGAGAGCAGAGCGAGCCCAGGCCCATCTGTGCTCCACGGGGCTTTCCCARCCATAGTGCGCCTGGTGGGAATGGGGTTGCAACAATTCCTTGTGCAATGGGAGAGTCTGGAGGGGAACTGCAAGGCTGATTTCTTTCCTGAACTCTGTCAGATGTTGCAGAGATGTTTCTTCCCTTAGGCAAGCTCTGTCTCAAGGGTGAGAAAGAGATGTAGAAATTGCAAGACAATGAAATGTGATGAATTTCTATTGTTTGTAAATACTGTTCTGCCGAAGTCAAATCCCCAGGTGCTTTTAAGTGTCATCATTATCTCCCTTTCATTCTTCTAGGAAGTCTTCCCTTTAAATTAGACATTGCAATCTCTCCTGTCCCTGGGATTGCCTGAAGAGGGGCGTGGATCAGGAGAGCTGTTTGATGTTTAGCCTGAACAAGATCAACGTGATGTTTTGGGGTTGAAGAAAGCAATTACCACACTTGGCGCATGGAATTTTTGCATTGTGTTCTGTTTTTCACTCATCACCTTGCAGTGATGAGTGAAAGAAAAAGAGAGAAAAAGTTTTTTTTCTTTACAGTTACCTACTCTTGGTTTAAGAAATATCAGATGGTGTCAATAATGCTCTACTTTGTGAGGAGAAAAGCAGATCACGCACTTTATTTCAGAAACAGTTCTCACAAAGATAACTTTTTTTTGTCATTATCAGGTTTTGCTACAATTTATTCTATTACTTGCTGTATTTTAAGGCARCACTGGAGCTTCTACTCCTTGAGAGCACCTCAGAATACTTGCATCGGGGTGYGAGTTTTGCCAATCACACAACACCTACATAAACTGAGGCTAGTCTTAATCTCTCAAGCACACTTTGATTTGCAGCTGAGATGCTTCTTAGGTGTTGAAGTGAAATCAGGAACTCCTTCATAGGCTTCTATATAAAACTTCTGCATGAAACTGCTTTATATAACCTGAGAGACTGTTTGAATCCCAAGAAACTGAAGACAGAACATATTTAATGAGGTATTTCCATTTCAAGAGCTGTTTCCCTTGTTGAACCGCCAAACCTGTTACTCAGCCTTTAAGATGCAACACAGAGGGAGGCTGTTCATGTGCAAGGAACGACAGGAAAGTTCATGCCTGATGCTGTGAGCGCAGTAAGTGCCAGCCACCCCATCCGCAATTTCCTAACAAAACACAAATGTGCTCCATGGCAGGGCTGATAGATTTATGCCCCACAGCATAATAACACTGGTGAAGGGGGAAAAAAATCTTGTCTATTTTGCAGTAAGTGCTTTTAAAATCAAATGGGTCTATTCACAGGCCATTTTTCATGCTG